CCCCCTTCCAGCTGAAGTTACTTCCAGGGGATTTAAAAGGCCAGTGTTCTCTTTTTCCCTCCTTCCATTTTTCTGGTTTTCCCTTTTTGGGAACTGAACATGAAAGAGTAGAACATTCAAAAGCAACTCCATATACAGGGAAAATTAGAAAGTCATCATGCACACCCAGGGAAAGGTGCAGGCTCAGAAAAGACTTAGGAAGACCTTAAGTTTACACCTCAGGCAGATCCTTGGCACAGAGACAGCCTACAACAGTCCAAAATCCAAAAACAATAAACAAAAACTAGAAAACCCTAAGGAAGGGAGAGAATCTGATTTCCAGAGTTACCACATCAATAGATTCAAATATCCAGTTTTCATCAAAAAAGTCACAAAGCACATAAAGAAATAGCAATGTGTGGCCCATTCAAAGGAAGAAACAAATCAAGAGAAATGCCCCTGCAAAATAACTGATAACAGATCTACTAGACAAGGACTTTAAAATCACTGTCTTAAAGACACTCAATGAACTAAAGAAAGACATGAAAAAAGTCAACAATGTCTGAACAAAATAGAAATAAATAAAGAGATAGAAAAACTAAAAAGAAACCAAAAAGAAATTCTGGAACTGATAAGTGAGTAATTGGAATGAAAAATTCACTAGAGGGATTCAGGTTTCAGCAGAAGAAAGAACTGGCAAACTTGAAAATAGGACAATAGAAATTATCAGGTCTGAGGAACAGAAAGGGGTAAAAAATGAAGAAAAGTGAACAGAACCTAAAGGACCTGTGGAACACCACCAAGTGGACCAACATATGCATCGGGGAAGTCCCAGAAGAAGAAGAGATAGAGAAAGAAGCCAAGAGAATATTTGAAGAAATAATGGCTGAAAACTTCCCAAATGTGATGAAAGACATGCAATAAACATCTAAGAAGATCAAGGAACTCCAAGATGAACTCAAAGAGACCCACACTGAAGCATATAATCAGACTTTCAAAAAACAAAAACAAAGAAAGAGTCTTGAAAGCCACAAGAGAAAACAGACATCATACACAAGGGGTCTTCAATAAGATTATCAGCAAATTTTTCATCAGAAATTTTGGAGGCCAGAAGGCAGTGCTATTTAAAGTGCTAAAAGAAAACTGTCAACCAAGAATCCTACATCTAGCAAAACTGTCTTTCAAGAATGAGGGAGAAATTAAGATTTTCCCAGATAAACAAAAGCTGAGGGAGTTCATCACCACTAAACCTACCTTGAAAGAAATACTCGAGACTACTGCAGGATAAAATGAAAGAACACTAGACAGTAACTTGAAGCCATATGACAAAATCAAGATCTCAATAAAGGTAAATAGGCAATTAGAAGGACTATTATTACTGTAAGAATGGTTTGTAACTCTACCTTTTGTTATCTGCATGACTTAAGAGAAAAATACATTTTTAAAAAATTATTAGTCTAAAAGCTAGTATTATTATAACTTTGGTTATAACTCTAATTTTGTTTTCTACCTACTTTAAGAGACTAATGCATTTACAAAAATTAGTTTATGGTTTCGGGTACAGAGTTCCAAAATGTAATTTTGTGACATCAACTACATGGGGTTGGGGACAGAGCTGTTATAGGAGCAGAGTTTTGTTTTTTTTTTAATTTAGTAAAATACACATAACAAAATTTACCATCTTAACCATCTTTAAGTGTCCAGTTCAGTGGTATTAAATACATTCATAATGTGCTACCATTACCACCATCCATCCCCATAACTCTCTCCTCCTGTAAAACTGAAACTGTACCCGTTGGAAACTACCATTACACTTTGTTTTTATGACTTTTTTTCTTTTAAGTAATCTCTACACCCAACATGGGGCTCAAACTCAACCCTGAGATCAAGAATCATATACTCCACTGACTGAGCGAGCCAGGCACCCCCTGTTTTTATGATTTTTTACTAAGTACCTCATATAAATGGAATCATATAATACTTATCTTTTTGTGACTGTGATGTTGTGTTCAGGAACTGATCAATATAAGTCCTCACCCCAGAGAAGCTGGGCAAAAATAAAATAGCGTGCAGACTTTACAAGCAGACTGTTTGCTCTCTGGACTGGTGAAGGCTTGCAATTCAAAACTCATGACTGCTAACCCATAAATGCCTAGATCTTTAAGCAACTTGGCAGAGATCTTTGATAATTCAGTCCCATTGGTGGGAGCTGCTTCCAAAATGTACCTTCTCACATTGATTCTGTGCTTTCAAACTGTGAGCATATGTGTATGGTAAGGAAGTGGATGAGACATGTTGATCTGTGTATAACCAGGGAGCTCAAGGCTGACATGCACATCATGTTAAGCACAAATCCAGCTAAAGCCAGCCCTGCATGATCTAATGCAAGAAAACAAGATAACAGGATATAACCCATGCAACTGTTTGTTCCTTAGATGAAAAAGGTAGATCCTCCTCAGTGGCTTTAACACATCAATCCACTTGGGAACTTGACGGGAAAGTACAAATTCAATGAAGGACTGAAGACATATAGTGGTAATTATTCCTGTAGGCAGTTTGAAAATACATGATAATGGCAGCTCCCCACAGCCATAATGGAATTTCTACTAAATAGAAACAAGGATCAATTTAGGAAAATCTTCAAAACGTATCTTAATAACCTCTTTTTAAAAACTATAATACTGCTTTTTTACTATCCTATGGCAATACAATTGAGGAAGGATACTGACAAACTAATTAGCATGAGAGAAAGGGGCATTAAAATTACTTAAAGAGAATTTATCTTTCCCTCCTTTTACATGCAAATTGCATCTGTGCTACTTTCCAAGTTCCACGGCATTAGAAATCAAAATGGCCTCCATTCTAGACCAGCAATACACATATTAGCTCTAACTTTTAAAGAACCCTGCCTTCTATTACCAGGGCATCAGTAAATTGGGCATTCTGCAGCAGCTTTTCCTAAGAAAACATGGTGGCTCTTTACTTCCTTTATCCACTCAAAAAGCTTCATTTAAGATTAATGGAAACAATTGGGTGCCTGGATGTTTCAGTTGGTTAAGCATCCAACTCTTGATTTAGACTCAGGTCATGTTCTCAGGATTGTGAGATCTACCCCTGCATGGGGCTCCGCGCTCAGTGGGGAGTCTGCTTGAGATTCTCTCTCTCCCTCTCCCTCTGCCTCATTCTCTCAAATAAATTAATGGAAACAAGAAATTCAATTTGGCCTCCTGAGTTTAGGAAAGATTTCAAATTGGAGGCCTACAGGTCAAGTTTAATCTGTAGATGTGTTTTGTTCAGCGTACATAGTACTCTGACAATCAGGACTGCTCACATCAAATCAACATTTCCAGCTTCTGGTAGGGTAATTATGAGTCCATAATCCTGCATGACAAAAATTGACTGGAACTTACTATAGTTGTCCCTTTTGAAAAGTCCCCAGATCCCCCCATCCCTGATTCTCAAACACCTCACTAATTTTTTTTTAAGATTTTATTTATTTATTTGAGAGAGAGCATGAGCAGAGGGAGCAGCAGAGAGGGACAAGCAGGTTCCCCACTGATCAGGGAGCCCAATGCAGGATTTGATCCCAGGACCCTGAAATCATGACCCGTGCAAAAGGCAGACTCCTAAACAACTGAGCCACCCAGCTGCCCCTAAACACCTCACTAATTTACAGTAGTACCAGCTTCTATAGATAACTTGAGTGACCTTCAGTTTGGAGTTTAAGAAAAGAACATCAAGGAGAGATTGACACAGATTCCAAGACATGTAGGCTACCTGTAGATAACTAACAATAAAAAAAGAAACAAAAGGAGATTGCTACATAAATAATAGTACCTTTATTCGGTACCTTTCAAAATACAAATTATAACTACTAGCAAATTGACAACTTTATATGTTCAGTAGTGCTACGCTGGTTCAACTTTGTTAAAATGCTGTTTTTTTCCACCTGAAACTAAGATTACACTGTATGTTAACTAACTGGAATTTAAATAAAAACTTGAAGAAAAAAATGTTTTTTTTTCGGAGAAGGAATGGAAGAAATTTCCATGAAATGGAGAAAGTTAAAAAAAAATAACCAATGAGGCCTGACTTTGATTTTTAACTTATGCTTTAGCAGTCTAACAGAATTGAAGGCAATTAAAAAGTACATTTTCATCTGTTAAGTTTAAAAAAGTGATTGAATATAATGGTTATTTCTTAACTAATCCAGGATTTAGAAAAAGTCCTAAATGTTAAAACTTTTCATTAGATTAAATTTTTGTTTCAGAAAACCTCTAAACCTTTCCAAATAGATGAAATTAATGGAAATTCATTTTGATAAATGATAAACGTGTAAGTACAAGTAAATCTTTCTGACGTCAGTCTGGAAGAAACATTTTTCCTCTCTTTCGCTGGCATAGTAGAAAGAACACCTAATCAGAAATTTAGTTTATCATGACCTCTGCTATGTGATCTTCGGCCATGGGGAATGAATAGGTAGAGGAGAGAGGATTTTTAGGACAGTGAAACTATTCTGATACTGTAATAGTGGATACTTGTCATTATAAATTTGTCCAAACCCATAGAATGTACAAGACCAGGATTTATAAAATAAGCCAAGCAATCCTAATATAAACGTGGACAGATAGCTCAATAAAGGTATGTCAACATATCAAATACTCCAAAGAAGGATAATTACATAAATGCAAATGGATAGATATGTGGGATTTAGTAAATATAAGCCAAGAAGAGGAATATGTATTTCTGGGACTTACATACAAATAAGTTATCTTCTACGAAATTCGTCCATTATGTTATATACTTATATTACACACATATATCACTAATCCTCATGACAAAGCTTTAGAGGAAGTATTACTGCCCACATTTTGCAAAGAGGAAGAGGTAAGACCAAAATTTGAATACAAGGCTGTCTGATTCCAAGTTCATATTCTGTCTGCTATGAAGTAAAAAATAGACACTCAAATTTAGTAGGGGAAAAGGTGACTTTTTACTCTGACTCCATCTAATAGCAGCTCCATTGTTACCATGTTCCGTGATCAAGGCTGACATTCAGCTGGTATGGCATAAGGGCTGAAAGTTGTTATGATTATCTGTTCTGTTTGACTGGGGGTGCCCGTGACATACTGATCACTAAATATTTTGAATATCCTACCTGACCATGACACAGAACTCTTAGTATTCCATCACATACTTATTCAGACATTTGAAATCATCCAAAACCACTTCTCACGACATATCTTCCATACCTACAGGCATCTCAGTTCTACTTCATGCAAAATTTGGCTGGTCTTCTCTCTAGGTAAGAACATGCTAAGATTCCTAACTTTTAGAGTAGAAGTCTAGCATTTGCCATTTACATATACCAAAGCAAGGGACACATCTTTATATCAGTAGTATAAAATTACTATACTGTAGGTTTTCACCAGTGAGTCCAACCTTGAAATTACATCCTGCCTTTCTTGTTAAAAATCAGTCTCAAAGCATTTGTTATCTGGGAAATTAGTCTGACAGGATACTGTTCACACCTTCCTCAGTTCTTACTATAAAACTAGATCCCCAGAGAGGAATATATCTAGACATTAGCTTATGCCCTTAGATAGAAGTGCCTAAACTGAGTTTTATACAAAGTTATATTCTTGGATTTTATCAAGATTCGATATCAGAAATGATCATATGGAAAAAAGAAAGCAATGGTATAAATGTTTGAAGGACAAATCATCATAACAAAAACAGCATGATTTATTTCTGAGAGCTTCATACTTTAGATTTATTTATAAGTTAGTTATGCCAAAACCAGCTTGCCCAACCAATACACATAAAATGTTATATAAGCTCCCTCAACTGGTTAAGACATGGAACTACCAAAAAACATGTTCCATTAAGTTGACTGTATCATCCTCTTCAGAAATTTCTGTTACGCCAGCCTGAGATCGAAGAATGGACATGATGTCGTGAGATAATTTGTCAAAGCCATTCTGTAAACATATATTTGCCACTTCTTGCCAGTTTTCTAATGAGAAAAATGGATCATTTATCATAAGATGTTCAACTATACCTGAGGAAAAAAGTTATAATATTATAGTATGGTGCTTATTCTTATTTGAAAACTCATACTTAGCAATTCTTCCAAAATAGAAAGGGATATCATTTCAACTATTGAAGTTACTATTAAACTTGATCCATATAAGTTTAATCTGGAGTGTTTCAGCCAGTTCATGGTAAGTAATCAAGTGTTAGTTTCTTCCTCTCTTTCATTAACCTTTTCATGTCTCACTTCAACCCTCTACTATCTCTCACATTCCCACACTTCTACTCATCTCCCATCTCCTTCTTGGTTGAAGGCTACATGGAAGGGGTCTCAAAAAATGAAGAATGAGGGCTCAGCCTTATTCAGAGTCTCTAAGGTACCACTAGACACTATCACATAACAGGGGGCCTACAAGTCTAGTTTTCATGATCCTTCAAATTCTTTTATAAATTCCCTAGTTGTGCTGACCCAAGGGCTTGAAAACCTCTTTGGCAAACCCTTCCTATCTCTGGATAGAGAGAGACCTCTTAATGATGGGACTTCTATAATAAATATTTTTCTAAAGGAAATAAAAGAATGATTTTGTTTATTAAAGAAAACTAATGATATTACTTATTTTTGAAAATCAATTATGGTGACCCTCTTTGGAATATATTTATTTAGGGAACTCATTTCTTAGCTATTACCTGCATTACCGATGATACTTAATGAAAGAGGATCTCTTTTTAAAATATTGTCAGCACTATTATTTTATTTCTACCATGATTATTTTTCTGTCAAATAAAATATTTTATTTGATATCTGTAATAATTTCAAAATTATCTTCCCAAATATGTTTTCATGTAATTTGCTATTCATTAACCCCATATAACAATTTAAAATCAAGCTATCTACTCAAGTTCCTATATTAAATTAGAGAAAGGAAAGAAAAAAGTGAGATGTAATTAGTTATTCTTAATCCCACTCCAGAGTTACATTCAGAGTAAACATCATATGGAAGTGTCATTTACCTATGTATTTGGTTTAAGAATAAATATATAGAGAGATTATGTCTAAATAACATTTTAAATACATATAAAATTACTAAATATACACATTTGTTAATATATGTACAGTTTTTAGAGTAGTGTTTGCCAGTATAATTATTAAGATGTTCCCCTAAAGCTACATAAAGATTCCTTTTTGTAATTCCCTCAAGAAATACATACTATTGTCGACAGACTATCATTGACATGGTAATCTTTACATTTATAAACTCCTAAAGTCAATTCCTGCCAAGAAAGAACTCTTAGGAAAAATTAGTTATCTCAGACATAATAATCTTGAACCTTTCCCTAAATAACCCACTACTTTCTCTTCTATAACATTTTACTATACTTACCTTTCCCACCTTTACTTATTTCTTGAAGTAGCTTAATGCCAACTTTTTTCATGTCTACAGAAAACAGATCAAGTATAGCAAGACCAAAAGATAAAGATGGTGGTTTCCCGTTCCATTCTCTAGTGAGACACTGAATTAATTCAGTGTGAGGACATAACTTTATTAACTGCATCAGGTCATCTGAAAGCAAAAAATGAAAAAACTGTCTCAACATCCTAATATGATACATCAACTACAAACTGGGACCAGCTAATGTCTACACCTGCCAATCAACACTTCTTTTTCCAATCCTTCCAAAGTCCTCAATGAACTCAACAGTAATCTCTCCAATCAGGAAAAAAAAAAAAATCAATGCTCAGCATAGCAAAAAAATGAAAGAAAACTACTTAAAACACACACTACCTGATTATCAAAGAACTGTGGTAGAATAGAAAGGACTAGATTGGCAGTCAGGAAACCTGAGCTCTGATCACAGTTCCATCAATCACTTATTCTTTTGGATCTCAGTTTATGCACCTTAAAAGTGCTAGAATTGGTAGCTCCAATTTCTAAAGTTCCATCTAATACTACATTATGTTTGTCTACATCCTGTTGCTCATATTTGGACCAGTTCCTAGCAAGTATAATTTCTTTCTTTCTGTCTTGCACAGAAAGAGGGTCTCAGCAATTTTTTTCCCTAAAAATATCAAGTATTTAGAAACTCAAACATGAAGACTTTAAGAAGCTATCAGCCAGTTCAAGTAGCTAGAGGTTGAGCCATATGAAGTTGCCTGTATTTGACCATTTTTGACTCCAAAAAAAGCAAATTCATATGGTTTAATATACTAGCTAACTATTGAGTTCATCTAGTACTGCAATCATGATTTACATTTTTAATTTATAAACTTTGTGTTAACTTACTAAAGTTTTTCAAGTAAAAATATTCTTCTTGGGTCACAACAGAGGTAGTTTTCAGAATAATTTCTGAGAGCCTTTCAAGAACTACCATAAATGTAATTTGCACTCTTGACAGGCACAAATTTCTGTACTGGGAACTTAAATCTATTAAATCACTGCATTTAATATTCAATATAAGTGAGATATTATTATTCTCATATTGATAGTGAGGAAACAGGCTTAGAGAAGTTAATTTTCCCAAAATTATACACATGATATAAAGTAGAACAGTTCATCTGAGCCCCCCACAGAGTCTATGACCTTCCAACCTATAGTAATGCTCCTCCAAAATAATAAATAAATGTGTGTGCATTGTATGTATGTATGTATGTATGTATGTATACACACAGGCATGCACACACACACACATAAATATATAGAGAGAAATGGTAAAAGAAGAAACAAGGAATAACAGAATATAATTCTATTATCAATAAAGTCAAACAATTTTTTAAAAATTTCCCTAGAGAACAGGTAGAAGTTTATGATTTGGGTCACTTAAATTGGCCTCCACTAAGGTGAAGCGATTTTTATAGCACCCCCAGCCTCCAACATTTCATAACTCACACATCTTACTCTGCTTCATTCAGTCAGGTATTCAAATCGCGTTCTCCCTGAATTGATTAATTAACCAATATTTACTCAAATATATGCAAGATATGGTCTCTGACTGATTAGAAAGAACACAAATTCAAATCTCATGACCTTTCCCCTCTGCTTACCACATTTTGGAATCCATTTCGTTATTCCTTGGTTTGACATATTATTAATCATTTTTTTTATCTCATGGATGTTCTGTTTTAATAAGATTATAAAGGCCTATATACCAAGTATGATATCTGTTTAACACAAATATCTAGAGCACTGGTTCTCAAAATATGGTCTAGGGTCTACAAAGTCAAAACTATTTTCATAAAAATACTAAGTTGTTATTGTTATTTTAAATGAATAAATATTTTTAAATTTTCTGCTTTAATGTCTAATAGGATAAATATCAATAGACATAACCCATGTAAGTAAAAGCTCTTTGGGATGTTCAGTGCTTTTTAAAAGTGTAAAAGAGACCTGAGACCACAAAGTTTGAAAGCCTCACATCCAGAATAACCCAATTTCCAGATAGGTATATTCACTTGTTTAATGATAATGGGAAGGTGAACAAATTATTTCAGGCTTTATTCTAAAAATTATTAGGGGGAAGAAATAATTTTTAATTTTATTTTTTTTTAAAGATTTTACTTATTTGAGAGAGAGACAGAGCGAGAGAGGAAACACAAGCAGGGGGAGTGGGAGAGGGTGAAGCAGGCTTCCCACCGAGCAGGGAGCCCGATGTGGAGCTCAATCCCAGGACCCCGGGATCATGACCTGAGCTGAAGGCTGACACTTAACAACTGAGCCACCCACCCCAGGCGCCCCTAATTTTTACTTTTAAAACATGCTCTTTTAGTCACGCTTATGCTTTTGGAACAAATTTCTTAGAACTTTTCTGTTTTTGTTTGATTTTGGTTTGGGTTTTTTAATTTGTAAGTGTATAACTGATAGTCTAAATCTAAGAGAGAACATTTTTTTCTGAAACCAGAAAGTATTAACAAAATGAATCTGTCCCCCAAGGCCAATATGATACCATGGAAAGCTGTGGTTGTTTCTCATTAAAAAGTAAAATAAGGAAAGTAATTTTTCAAACAATGTTTCCATTTTGTAAGCTTAATTTTTCTTATTATTTTCATCTTATGATGTGCTAAATAAATTCTGAGGATAAACATCAAGGTTCTAATTACATAAGAGTGTTATTACTTTGTAAATTATATATATACAATATATATCTACAATATATATCTAATTATTTTAGATTGTAATGCACTACTAGAAGAACAGAACAATATAATAGTGAGTCAATCATGTTTCTATGCACTTATCCAAGGCAAATTTTGCAAGCAAAACAGAAACTTAACATTTCAGTCAATAAAAATTCTAAGTGTAATTAAACCTATATTCCTTCCATGTCTAAACTGACTAAAATAATCTCTTATCTATGGAAAAATAATACTTAAAACAGAAACTGAATCTGTATACTTAGATAATAAAAATAAAATATATAATTCATTCAACAAATATTAATTGAGTAGTACCTACTATACCAGATTCTGTTTTGTTGCTATGTGTGTGTAGGTAAATTACTTATCTCTTTGAGCCTTAGCTTCTCTGTGGAAACACAGTTTTTTTTAATCTATAAAATAGGGATAATAACAAAACCTGCTTTATAGTTAACATAAGGATTAAGTAAGATCATGCATGTAAAAAGCCAAACTATAGTATCAAGTGTGCTGTTACATAACAAATAAAAAATTCAAGTTATTGTTTGAAAATAATCAGATTCAACAGCCATCAATGATCCTCTTTCCTGGAAAGATATGCCCTAAAAGTGCTATGTTTTATTTCATTTGCAACTTCTTAGAACTGGGGGTACAAAGCCTGCAAATCAGAATTGAGACATAGGCCTAGAATGTGGGAGATATCAGGATGCCTATACATTTAGGTTACTCATGAACTAGGCTCAAAATAAGGGATCAGCTCATTCAACTAAGGTTACCCTAAGGTTGACAGTGCTCTCAGATCATTGCCCAACTGCAACCTAGGTGTTTCAAAATTTTGAAATGAACATTATTTTACTAATTCTTGATTTCTAATGCTTATATCATAGTCTAGAACATTTATGTAACAAATAAGTTCAGCTATTTAAAAAATAAATCCTTTAAATAGCATGGTCTAAAATATCCGCAAAATAAACTGTGTACTTCAGAGGGAGACAAGCAGTGTCACCCAAACATCCACCTTCTCCAAGGCTGTGAGGCCCTCTGTCCCAGGACAGCCCCAAGCTCAGTCCCTAGTGCCTTTGCCAGACATGCGAGACAAACAAGATCTCCTCAGGAACAACTGGCCTTAAGGCAAAGACCACCCTGATAGGGCTGGCCACAGCTACCCAGGACCCTCAATCAGCACCACAGACTTGACGAACTTCACTCTCGTTTCACTGTTCCCTCTGTGCAAGCCTTGGCTCATTTCCCTCTCTGGGCCTCAGTATCTCAATTTGTATGATGGGCCTAACAGTGCCTACCTGATGGAACTGTTGAGGACTGGCCGGAAGGACATGAGGATACCCTACCCAGAGTCTGGCACAACGTAGGTACCCAATAAAAATTAGATAGGTTTTACTAAAAACAAACAGACAAACCTACTTATCAGTATATGTAGAAGAGACTTTATAATGTAAGTCCAAAATATTGCCTACTATCATGGGTGATCTTACAATTAAAGTCTAGAATTCAAATGTATACAATTAAGTAGACTGTTTCACTCACCGTAAGTAAAGTCCTTGAATTGTTGTATGTATTCCATGGCCCCATGAATCTGACCCTGTTTACATAGGCAAAGAAGAGCTTTCTTGGGCAGGCCACAGTCACTGTAGATCATCTGAGCTAAAGCCAGGCACTTGGCCTTGTTGTAAGTATCCTGTTCCCCATAATCACAAATCACATCCCCCAACTCTTCAGAAAATGTGAGCCTAGAGCAAGCAGATCAATAGGTATACTTTAGAGAGTTCTTGATGAGTGGATGAGAATAAAATATTTGAAAATTCAGCACAGTAGAACTGGATTTTCTATGGTCTATAAGAATTCCAAGTTAATAGGCAATTGATATAGAAGAAATTAAACATATCTAAGATTTAACACCAACAAGAACAAAAACAATCAGCATGTATTCTTTTGGGGGAAGACATTTTAGCGAAACTGAGCTCAAGTTTTTAAAAAATCTACAAACACGGTTAAAACTCTCCTAAAAAGACTGGTGGGATTTAAAATGACAAGGTAAACAAAAATTCTCTTATAATTGGGAATCTCAATGTTCTCAGCAGTTATCTAGATTCTAAACCCTATTGAATGTAAGAATTCATTAAATGTTGGTTAACGACAGTGACGACAAATTTTAGCTCAAAATTAGTAACAGATCTTGCAAGTGTTTGCAAGAAATGTGTGACACCAGTGTTATTTTTTTAAATTGATATAGATATATATACAAAACAACAGGGGGAAAAAAGGATATAAGATGTCCCTACTAGGAGAGACTGAAGAAGTAATTCTTTTGAGATGGCTCACTTGAATAGGTTTCACTTGTCGTCACATTTTATTTTTTTATTTTTTTACTTGTCATCACATTTTAATGCGCCATCTTCAAACAAAATTGAAGCGAACCATCTGCACTAGCACATTACCTCCACCTAGAAATGATCAGCATAAGCCAAAACACATTTGGGTGTGATTAAAGATATTACTTCTAATCACTGGTTGTATGGAAATTTTATTTTAGTTATATTTTTAATAGCTACAGAATACTGGTGCCTAGAAATCCAGAAACCCCTACAAAATGTCTGTTTACTGAAAATTCAGGTAATAAAGCCTACTGTGTTTATTGGGGTGGCCAGAGAGAGGTGGGTCTAAAATCAAAAGGCAGCTTCTGATTATAAATCAATTATTTACTAAGGAATTACCTGACTTCTACATTTTAGTACCAAAATACAGGTTTTGGTAGCTACAGTCACAGTGTTTCCTAAGGCTGAACAAGTAATTATTTCAGTCTTTATAGTGACTGTATTCCCAGAGCAAGATGATAATACCAGTATTTTTTTTAAAGATTTTTTATTTATTTATTCATGAGAGACAGAGAGAGAGGCAAAGAGAGAGAAAGGCAGAGGGAGAAGCAGGCTCCCAAGGAGCAGGGAGCCTGATGCGGGACTCGATCCCAGGACTCCAGGATCACGACCTGAGCCGAAGGCAGACGCCCAACCATCTGAGCCACCCAGGCACCCGATAATACCAGTATTTTAGTTATTACTTCTCTTATTAATACCATAGTTTTATTTTTTTAAGAAGTCACCACCATTATGTTGTTCCACCTGAAAGAAGGCCAGAGCTGAGGACTGAGGTTGCTGTGTCTCTGTTTGTCACTTTCCAAAAGGATGATGAGGAAAGAAGAGTATGATTAAAAAGAAAAAATTTTAAAAATAAATAAAAAAGAAAAAGAAAAAGAAAAATTATCGAAAGGGAGGAAATGGGCCAAGCCCCAAAAGAATGGAATTGACCCTGAAGTAAAAAAGGAGAAAGATAAACAGGGATTCTAACCCTGGGGGAAAGGGACATAATCAAGCACCCTACACCTGGCTGGGAAATGAGCCTGGGCACCTCTGCCCACATTTCCCCTGCCCCCAATCACCTCATCCTACCTTCTTTCTGTTTCCCAAAAGTCCCCTTCTTGGTTTGCCCACCCCTACTTCCAATTCTAAGAAGACTATTTCAGGGACTTCTGAAAGTTGATCTCCAGCCTGACTCTGGAGAATACAAATGACTAATAAAAGAAAATATGCTTAACTCCACTAGTAAACTAAGGCATATTTGATTATAAACCAGATTGTAGACTTTTAAGTCAAAATAAAGGTAATATATAATCACTAAATCTATGCATATTTACTTACTGTTATTTTGTAGGGTTCAGTTTGTAAAGTTAATATGTCAGAGGATATTTTTCCTCTTCTAGGAGCAGTGTCTGCAATTTAGAGACCTAATGCTAGTAAAGCATCATTTCTTAAGTTTAGGCTTTATGTGTCAAGTGATCAGACTTTCCTCAGGTAAGAATGACTAAGAGAGTCAAGATTAGTCTATAACCCAGGCTGTTTTAGGGCTGGCTCTGTACAGGGCTTCAGGGAAAGAACTGTAGAACTTTTTAAGGTAGCCATGTAGTAGAGGCCAGGTCATCGGAGTCAGAGACCAGAGGACAGAGGCTAAGAATAAAGAATGTGAATTACCTTCAGTATTCTGTTAGACCATCTCAGGATCCTTAAAAGTGGTGGTATTGTCCAAATTTATGCAGTCAAGGAATTGCATAAGAATTTAAATTCTGACAACTAAGAGGTAGAATCAGCCAAGAATCATCAGTATATGTAGGGAAATTAATCTTGTCTGAAGTGTCTCTGCATTGATAACACGTGTTAATTAACATGCACTTTCAAATGGTGTTCTCACATCTGAACCATTTCCAGGGCTCCCTGATAAGTACATTTTGTGGAAGGTGTAGAAGGTGTGACCAGGCAGAAAAAGAGGCAAAGCAGGGAGAGCAGGGTATATGTATGAAGAAGTTTCCTAAAACATAATTAAATATTATGTGAACAATAAGTGAAGCTGTAACAAGAGGGGTGGGAAAGAGATACTCTGCACTGGTAAACAATAGTGCCATCAATCCAGGACAGTCTGGGACTACCCAGCGTCGTGCAGGGGAAATGGTGAATTTGGAACGGGCAGCAGTAGGCAGTAGTACACAAACTGACTACTCTATAATATGTATCCTATGTCAATATACATCCAGAGCCAAGAAAGCATAGCCCTTAGGCTGCAAAATAAGCAGGCCATGGCAACAAGACAGATGACGGGAAGGCCTTTCCTCACTCTGCCTTCCAATACTCAGAGCCCAACCTATGTCCGCATAGACCCAGCAAGAACAGCTTGATCTTCGTAAGCAGGCACACACTGTTTTAGTCCTCTTTACTGGACCAGTGACTCTTCCCCAGCTGACTGCTAATGGCTCCCAGTCTCTCCTTCCCCAAAGAATTGCCCTCAGCTGACTGGAGCTGCCTCATCCAGAAAATCATGCCTATCTTTCAACCCCCAGTAGTCTAGAGCAGATGACTGACTAATAAAGAATACAAAAGGCCAGTCCTATAATTCAAAAAGAAACAACTCTGGTACAGTTTATGCTCCGTAGTCCTCTCCCTGTAATGCTAGCTAACACTAGACTTCACCTGAGTTCACATTCCTGCTCGGCTGTTTGCCCTTCTCCATCCCATCTCACTTCTTCCCTTACAATATTACTCGAGGAGGAGTCTATCAGTAAATGACATGCACTCAGGTGCAACTACCATGCTCTCTTTAAGGGAAGAGAGAAACGGAGTGCCAAACATATTCCTCTCTTCCGTGTTAGGTAACAACAACCTTACCTTCTCATGATAATCAAAGTCGACCAGGATTCACAGAACCTCAAGTTGCAGGAGTGGAAAGCACACACTCCCTGTGATGGTTAATTTTATGTGTCATCCTGACTGGCTCATAGAGCACCCAGATATTTAGTCAAATATTATTCTGGGAGTCCATGAGGATGTACTTGAAAGAGAGTGTATCAGTAGACTGAATAAAGCAGATTTTTGTGAATGTGGATGGCTCTCATCTAATCAGTTGAAGGCCTAAATGGTACAAAAAGGCTGACCCTCTTCCAAATAAGGGGGAACTCCTCCTGCTTGACTGCTTAGCTGGGACATCAGTCTTCTCCTACTTTTGGACTCAAACAAAAAACATTGGCTTTTCTCAAGTCTTGAGCAGCCTGAAACTCACACCACTGAGGGCTCTCTTGCTTGCTGGTCTCTAGCTTGCTGAGTGCAGATCTTGGGACTTACCAGCCTCCATAATCACATGAGCCAATTTCTTTCTTTATATATATATATATACACACACACACATATACATATACACACATAATTTGATATATGGAAATATATGTATATTTGTATTATATATATTAAAATAATATATTAAATATATTATTGATTCTATTTCTCTGGAGAAGCCTAATTAATATACTCCCCATGTGGGCTACTAGGAATGATAGCTGAGCAGAGACACTCTTTTATCTCCCAGACCCAAGTATTCTATCTACTGGGGATACACCATGTAATTGTCACTGGTTTAAAGAGTGCATTTCATCCTGAAGGATGTTACTCCATCTTCAAAGGATGGAGTGACAAGCTGGCATCACCTGGACACAACCTGAACCATCCAAGAGCCAAGTTTGGGTTTTTTCTTCCTTGTCTGCTGGTCTTAGGTCACCCACCCCCCCCCGTGCATGAGGCCATAGGTGTGACATTACTGTGGAAGTAGTATCAGTCAGTTGGTGGTAGTTGACATGGGTTCTGGGCCACCTATTTCTGAAGCTAACCTGTATTCTCTGGATCTGCTTGAGCATGATCTTGATTGTATCTGATTTTAGATGGACTCTCTGAGCCCACCTGACCTCATGACTTGGTAAGCCTGTCAGAATCCAGTTCATGATAAGCAGCTCTCTAGTTTAACAGTCATTGGTGTTCCCTGGATAGACACTCCAACTTTAATAAGACCCAGTAGGTGTTTTTTAATAGTATATAGTTGCTTGTTACAGGTGGCAGATAATCTACTGGGATAGCTCTTGGTAGTCCCAAGCCAAATGAAAACTGTTAATGGGTATCAATAATTATGGTTTGATAAAGGCATGGCAACCATAGTCATCCTACCAGACAAGCCATCAAGACCAACAGAAGTGTAAGAGTGAGAATATAAAATGGATACAGAAGAAAGATGAGTAATAATTAATATGGAAGAATCTCAAAATAACTATAAGTGAAAGAGCCAGACCAAGAAGAAAAAATAATATACAATATATAATTCCATTTTTATAAAATTCTAGAAAACAAAACCTCATCTATTATGACAGGAAGTAGATGAGTGGTTACCTGGAGACGGAATGGGGGTTGAATGAGGTTGATTATCTCAGCTGTGGTGATGATTTCATGGGTGTATTTATATGTCAAAACTTGTCAAACTGTACACTACAAATATGTGTGGTTTATTATACGTCAATTATATCTCCACAATGCTGTTTTCCAAAAACTCATCAAATTATACATTTGAAATATGTATCGGTTATTGTATATAAATTATATCTCAATAAAGTTTTAAAAAACAAGTAACAGTCTTAGGATCCATTGTCATGACAAGGGCTGTAGTACATCCCACTAACCCTCCTCTTGTAAGATCCCCCCAGAATTATACCCACAAAATCCTGGACTAGACGGAGTGAAATTAAGGTGAAAAGCAAATACAGAGGTGTTGTGCTATAGTAGGTTGACTATAGTAGATGCTGTTTTAATGTCCTGCCCAGATCCTCCTTCCCCAGCTGCTCTGGGTATTGGCTGCCAATGGCTTACAGGTCCCCTTCTTCTACATCCAATTGCCCTTCGCTGGTGGGAGCCACCATGCCTAGGAAGTTATGCCCATCCAGGCAGCCCATAGCCCTATTAGAATCTAACAGAGAGGTACAAAAGGCTGGCCCCTTGCCTCAAGGGGGACAGTTCTGTGGTGTGGTTTATGCTCCAGAGCCTCTATAAATAAGACTAAGGTTAGAACTTACCTGAGATTACATCCTTTCTTGGCTTCCCAAACACACACACGCTCTTTTCTATTCTGCTTCACTCACTCCCGTATATGGTTTTCTGGAGAAGCCCTCCCTCTATCATGTACACTCAAATTCCTGTCTGAGGCTTTGGTTCTAGGGAATCTAACCTAAGGGGGCTCTAGTACAAATCTGCCAATCTGTATTGAAACCTAACTCCAAGAAGCCATCTCCTATCTATCCTTAATGGTTTGTATGTTCTAAATGTTACCTTGGTCCACATCCATCCTGCTTATAAGTTTTCTCCTAGATTTATTCTTTACATGCACCCATAACTTATCTGGATCCAGGTTCCTGCCTTATCCCTCTGAGTAGCAATGATACTGATTAATCCTTTTCTACCCTTACCAATCAACTTCTATCCACCATTAAGTGGTCATGAATCATCCATGAACTGCCATTACTCAACTCCTGATCTGGGCTCATTGTGACTAGGCCCCATTACTGCATGAATGCTTAGTAAATCTTTTTGACCAATTAATTTCAATAGAGACTGGAGATAAATGTTCAAATAATGTACTAATAAAAAACTATTGAAATCTTGAGAATAAACAACTTTATTAACCAACTATCAAAATTAAGTTAAAAGCTTTACTTTGCTTACCTTTCCTGGGTGACCCAATTGATAACTAAATCTAAACGTTTTTCAGATAATCCACATTTGATTCCTTCCAGGGTTAGTTCTGCATCAATAGGACGTCTACATGCATGACTTGTGCTAAAGATGGTCTCAAAAAATAAGAGTAATGGAAAAGGCTTGCCTCTAATCTTTCCAACAGCTATAGAGAGAAGAAAAGTTTTTGAGTTGAACACTTTAAGTAAATAGTAGTTTGGTTTTTCTTACTTCATATTATTTTCATCTTTGCATCTTCAAAAATTTCAATCTAGGGGCACCTGGGTGGCTCAGTCATTTAAGTGGCTGCCTACGGGTCAGGTCATGATCCCAGGGTCTTAGGATCGAGCCCCGCATCGGGCTCCCTGTTCAGCGAAGAGCCTGCTTCTCCCTCTCCCTCTGCCTGCCGCTCTGCTTACTTGTGCTCTCTCTCTATCCCTATTAAATAAATAAATAAAAATCTTTAAAAATTAAAAAAAATTGTTTTTAATTTCAATCTAAAATTACATACTTATAATTTTTAACTAATGTTTATGGATTAAACATTACATTTTGGACAATGACTAAATATCACATGTTATGTGAAAACAGAGGCAGACACTGGAGTGATATATCTACAAGCCAAAGAATGCCAAAAATTGCTGACAGCCAGCCAGAAGCTAGGAGAGAAATATGGAATGTAATCTCCCTCAGAGCCTTCACGTGGAAATTTTAAAAGCTGAAAGAATATACCACCAGCAGACCTGCACTATAAAAAATGTTAAAGGTAGTCTTTCAAGCAATAGGAAAATAATACCAGATGGAAATATGAATCTACATGAAGAAATGAAAACCAGAAATGGAATATGCTATGAATATAAGTATTTAAAAGTATACTGTTTTTATATAATACATCAAGCGGTATAAAATCACCTGAGGGTAGAATGTGATAAGTTAAAGATATAATCTACAAACACTAAAACAACAATGAAAATAAGACAACAAAGAATTATAGCTCATAATCAGCAAAGGAGAAAAATGGAATCATGAAAAAATTCAACTAATCCAAAAAGAAGGCAGAAAAAGAGGGGGAAAATAGTAAAAAGAAGAGGTAAGAAAAATAGAAAACGAAACTCAACCATGTCAACAATCACATTAAATGTAAGTGACCTAAACACTCCAACTGAAAGGCAAAGATTGTCAGAGTGTATAAAAAAGTAGGATGTCAAATAAATAAAATCTTTAAAAAAAAGTAGAATCCAAGTATATGTTGCCTAGAAGACACTGACTTTATTTTTTTATTTTTTAATTTCAAGTTTTTATTTAAATTCTAGTTAGTTAACATATATGGTAAAATTGGTTTCAGGTATAGAATTTAGTGATTAATCACATATAATAACACCCAGTGCTCATCACAATAAGTGTCCTCCTTAATACCCATCACCCATTTAGCCCATCCCCCCTGCCTACCTCCCCTCCATCAACCCCCAGTTTGTTCTCTATAGTTAAGAGTCTCTTATGGTTTGCTTCCCTCTCGTTTTTTTTTTCCCTTTCCCCTATGTTTATCTGTTTTGTTTCTTAAATTCCACATGAGTGAAATCCTATGGTATTTGTCTTTCTCTGACTGACTTATCTCACTTAGCATAATACACTCTAGCTCCATCCATGTCATTGCAAATAGCAAGATTTCATTCTTTTTGATGGCTGAGTAATATTCCATTGTGTGTATGTGTGTGTGTGTGTGTGTGTATAGATATATAGATATATATATACATATACATATACGTTTATATATACACACATATATAGATAGATGTAGATTTTTTTTATCCATTCATCAGTCGATGGACACTTGGGCTCTTTCCATAGTTCGGCTATTGTTGATAATGCTGCTCTAAACATCAGACGTAGGGGTGTATGTAAAAGACAGTGACTTTAAATACAAAGACACAAATAGATCAAAAGTAAGAATACGTGAAAAGATATACAATGCTAATACTAATAAAAAGAAAAATGGAGTCACGCTTCTAATTTCAAAGCTTACTACAAAGCTACAGTAATCAAAATTGTATGATACTGACATAGGATAGATATCTAGAGAAATATAATAGAATTAAGAGTTCAGAAATAAACTCTAAACATTTATAGTCAATTGATTTTTGACAAAGGGGCCAAAATAATTCAATGGATAAAGAACAGTCTTTTCAACAAATGGTGCCAGGATAACTAGATATCTACATACAAAAGAATGAATCTGGATCACTATCTTACACCATACATAAAAACTAACTCAAAGTAGATCACAGACCTATATACAAAACTCTTAGAAGAAAACACAGGATCTTAAGTTAGGCAAAGACTTCTTAGATACCATATCAAAAGCACAGCTATAAAAGAAAAGATGGGTAAATTAGTCTTCAACAAAATTAAAACTTTTGTGCTTTAAAAACCAGCATCAAGGGGCCCTTGGGTGGCTCAGTCAGTTAAGTGTCCAACTCTTGATCTTGGCTCAGGTCTTGATCTCATGGTCATGAGTTCGAGCCCTGCACTGGGCTCCATGCTGGGCATGGAGCCTCCTTAAAAAAAAAAAAAACCAAAAAACCCATCTTTAAGAAAGTGAAAAGAGGGGCACCTGCCTTACTAAGTTGGAAGAACATGTCACTCTTGATCTTGGGATTATGAGTTTGAGCCCCACCTTGGATGTACAGATTACAAAAAAAAAAAAAAAGAAAGAAAAAAAAGAAAAGAAACTTTAAAAAAAAAAGGAAAGTGAAAAGAAAATCCACAGATTAAAAGAAAATATTTGCACATCATCTGTCTGATACGAGATTTTTATCCAGGATATAAAAAGAACTGTCACAACTCAATAATAAAAACACAAATAACATAATTTTAAAATGGGCAAACAATAGACATTTCTCCAAAGATATATAAATGGCCAATAGGCACATGAAAAGATGCTCAACACTGTTAGTCATTAGGGATACACAAATCAAAACCACAATGAGAGAACACTTAGCTTTATGAGCACTAAGTAATATATAGAATTGTTGAATCATTATATTGTACACCTGAAATCAATATATAACACTGTATGTTAACTATAGTGGAATTAAAATTTTTAAAAAATAATAAACAAATCAATTGATCCACAATGAGATTACCACCTCACATGGATTAGAAAGGCTACAACAAAAAGACAGACATTAACAAGGGCTGGTATGGATGTGAGGAAATTGGAATCCTCATATATTGCTGGTGGGAATGAAAAATAGTGCAAACAGTTTAGCAGTTCCTCAAAGTGTTAACACAGAGTTACCATATAACCCAGCAATTCCACTCCTAGTGATCTACCCAAGAGAAATAAAAATGTATGTCCACATAAAAACTTGTACACAAATGTCCACAGCTGCATTATTCATAATAGCCAAAAAGTAAAAACAACCCAAATTACTAACAACTGACAAATGGATGAACAAAATGCATTATATATCCATACGATGAACTATTCATGTTACAGCATGAATGAACCTCAAAAAGATCATGCTAAGTGAAAGAAGCCAGTCACAAAAAAACACTTATTATATGATCCCATTTATATGAAAAGTCCAGAATAAGCAAATCTATACAGATAGCAAGTAGATTAGTGGTTACCCAGGGTTTAGAGAGGGAGCAGGGGGTAGAGAATGAGGAATTAATGGGTACAAGGTTTATTTCTGGAATGATGAAGATGTTCTAAAATTAAGTTATGGAAATGGTTATACAACTCTGTAACTATAGTAAAATTAATATAAAAATTGTGGAATTTTCCCCAGGAAGGCAATAAATTATATTAATAGGCTAAAGGACAAAAACCACATGGTTATCTCAATAAACGCAGAAAAAGTATTTGACAAATCTAACATTCATCCCTGATAAAATTCTCACCAACTATGGAGGGCAATTTCATCAACCTCATAAAGAGCATCTGTGAAAAATCTACAGTTAATATCATTCTTAATAATGAAAAATAAGGTCAAAAACAAAGCAATGATATCTGCTCTCATCACTTCTATTCAACACTGTAATGGAAGATCTAGCCACTGCAATAAGGCAAGAAAAAGAAATAATAGGCATCCATATTGGAAAGGAAGAAGTGGAACCCTTTTTTAGCAGATGACATGATTAGCTATGTAGAAATTCTAGGAATACACAATAAAAGTATTAGAACTAATAAACAAGTTTAAAGAGGTCACAGAATACAAGATCAATATATAATAATTATATTTCTATATATTACCAACAAATAATTTTGGAAATCAAAATAAAAATGATAATAATATAAATATACAATATTTAAAAATAAATCTGACAAAAGATGTACAAGACCTAAACACAGATTAAAAATCATTTAATTCTCTTTGCTCTGTGTCCCTTATGAAACTATAAATGCTCTCTGGTAGAAACCTCTTCTGTCATCATTCTTTAGGCTTTGGCTACTTTTATATATACCAATTTAAATCTCAGACTTATAAAAGTTAACAGTTTAACACTCAAAATGTACAGTGTCATTACTCATGATGTATGTATACAGGGTAACATGACCTGATAGTCAGCTATCCAATTGTAAATAATTGTTGGAATGGTTTCTTGACTTTGAGTCCACTAAATAAAAGCTACAAGAATATACTCAGCATTACATCCACTAGGATAGAATACTGAAAATTGTGCATGCAAAAATATGAAATGGGCCATTTACACACAATTCACAGTCAAACAATCTCTATAAATATATATGTTCATATGCATTATGTATATGGCAACAAATTTTTCGTGCTCAAATAAATGTAAAAGAACATTTTTTTCAAACTGTTGAATTTAAAGGGTTTTTTGAAGAAAAATTAATGAAAAACAGGCTGTATATATTTGACATCAAAAATTTCCAATTAGAATGAAAATAATAAGAAAAATTATCTGTATCTGTAAGCTCCACTGAGTATATCCCTCCTTTATTTATACCTATTTATTTCTGAGCTTCTCATCCTTTAAAAATACAGTCAAGTTTTAAAATAAAAGAACTTTTTTTATTCTAGGCAACAATTATCATCTGTCTAATATTGGTGAATTTCTCAGCATAAGATCCACATACCTAGAAAAGTAATAAAAGTTGGCTGTTTTCCAATTTTGCTGATAATTATACCTATTTAAGCATTCCTTAATTGTAAGCTTTGACTTTTATTAAAACTTGTAATCCATACCTTAAGCAGATCCAGTCAAGGGAAGAAGAAAAAAAAACCATAGGGATATACTAATATCACTTTTAACTTCACCAATTTCAGAACACATCCAAAGGAAGAGTTCCTGGATATTTGTAAGATGTCTGAAAATTTTTAAGTAAAATACTAAATTTTTCAGTGTTAAAGAAAAGAATTGAAAACTGAAAACTACAAAACACTGCTGAAAGAAATTTTTAAAGACCCAAATAAATGTAGAGATATACCATGTTTATGGGTTCACTGGACCAAATATCCAATATTGTTCAGTGTCTATTCTCCTGAAATTTATCTATAGATTTAATGCAATCTCCAGAATTTTTTATAGAAATTTACAATCTGATTCTAAAATTTTAAACAGAAATATGAAAGACTCAGAAGAGTCTTGATAAAGACTCTTTATCAAAATTTGATAAAGAAAAACAGAGTTTGAAGTCTAACACTCTGATTTCAACACTTACTATAAAGCAACAATAATCAAGACAGTGTAGTATTAGCGTCAAGATAAACAAATAGATCAGTGAAAGAGATTAGACCTAAAAGTATAAGGACAACTGATTTTCTTTTTTTTTTTAAAGATTTTATTTATTTATTTGAGAGAGAGAGAATGAGAGATAGAGAGCATGAGAGGGAAGAGGGTCAGAGGGAGAAGCAGACTCCCTGCTGAGCAGGGAGCCCAATGTGGGACTCGATCCCGGGACTCCAGGATCATGACCTGAGCCGAAGGCAGTTGCTTAACCAACTGAGCCACCCAGGCGCCCAGGACAACTGATTTTCAACAAAGGCAATTATGTGGAGAAAGTCCTTTTAGTAAATTATCATGGAACAATTGGATAGTTATTGGCAAAAAAAATGCCTTAACCCATACCTCACACCACATAGCAAAATTAACTCAAACTGAATCACAGACCTAACTGTAAACTTAAAACTATAAAATTCTTACCAAAAAGTAATAATCATAAGTTAAAAATCTGCAGATTAGACACAGATTTTTTTATGTATAACATTAAAGTCATGATCCATAAAAGAAAAAAAAATTCACAAATTGGACTTCAACAAAATTTAAAACTTCTCCTAGAATGATACTTCAAAGAGAATGAACAGACAGACCGGGAGAAAATATTTTTAAATCACATATCTGATAAAGGATTTGTGTTCATACCATGGAATACTACTCAACAATAAAAAAGAATGAACTATTGATAGATGCAACACATGGATGAACTGCAAAATAATAATACTGAGTGCAAGAAGTCAGTCAAAAAAGATTACTTACTATGTAATTCCATTTATGTAAAATTCTAGGAAATGCAAACTAATCTACAGTGACTGCAAGCAGACTAGCAGTTACCCCTGAGAGAAAGCTGTGGGAGAGAGGGAGATGGGAGGGGTGAGGAGGAGTCATAGAGAAGGATCACTGAGGGCAATGATGGAACTTTTGGGTGATACAAATGTCAAAACTTACCAAATTGTGTAAATACATACACTGTGTTGCATGTGTGTCAACTTAAAACAACAAAGCTTTTTTAAAAGGAAGTGGAGCAAATTTGACAAAATGTTAACATTTACTAAATCTTGACAGTGAGCATATGGCTGTTGTACATTTCTCCACACTTTTCTGTATACTTGAAATATTTCCTCATTTAATGTAGAAAACCTAATCAAATTCCTCAATGTGACAGCTAAAGAAACTGAGTAAATAGCAGAGATAGGGCTGGAGCCTAGATCTTTAGTATCCTATTTCAATACTCTTTCCACTCTATCAGGGGAAAAAAGTAAAATTTGCATACATACATGAGGTTCAGAGAAAAATACTTACCCTTAAATTTGTTCACTGTCCCAATGTTTTGAAGAATTCTTCTGGGACTGTTTGCTGCAAAACAAGCTGCCTTTTCATATTCACCAAGCGACATTAAGTCATTGAACCTACAGCCATTCCATTTCATTATACATTATAATAGTACACATAAAAAAGAAAAGAAAACTGATTAGAAATGTCTAAAACAGACTAAACACAGTAATATAGAAAAACTATATCTAGATTCATTCACTCAGTAAGATTTTTTTTACTCTTTCTGTAATGTTCTGTCATTTTTTGTATCCTCAGAATAAAACTCTCACCTGACAGAAGACTTTGAACCTTACCCTGTACTTTACTCATATAGTACTTACTGCAAGACATAGAAAATGGAAAGAACTTGAACTGAATTCACAATGAGCTCAGATTTTTTCTCTCATATCGTCCGCAGATGAAAAGGGATATCAGGGGAAAGAAGAGCAATCTGCTTAGAGACTCAGTCTAGGGGAAATAGTAATCGAAACACCAAGAATGGGGAATTGGAGATCAAGAGGTGTCCTTGGTATTCAGAAGCCTATGTTGCTCTGCCAGGCATCAGACTCCTGATTAATTATGAGACTAACACAAGAAAAAAAAAATAATAGTTCAGTTAACTTAAGCCTCTACTCCTCTTCCTAGGGCAAAATGTCTTCAAACCAGCCCTTATCCCACAATTAATAAAACTATGGCAAACAGGATTTAAGGATTTACAGTGTTGCAAATGAATATGAAACCCTAGAGGAGAAAAACACCAAAATAATACTAATAAGCAAAATACATAAAACTTTTAATTTCAACAAGGGTTTTGCTCTCATATCTAACGCTGATAAACGTGGGAATGCCTACAGTGTAAGGAAATAGCACAGGCTTTGGCGCTGCCCCAAAATGACCTTTGCCCCTCTTTGTACCATATCAGTAAGACAATCCACAATTAAAAATTGTTTAACATATGACTAGGAATATTACATATGTTCCTTACATATTGGACTCACAGCCTATAAATTAATCTCTTAAAGAATAGTCTGAGGTCTCTGTAAGCCTCTATTATACACTACATATAGTAACTCAAACATTAGGAAGAAATGAGAAAAAAATGCCTGAATTAGGATAACCTGACTCAAGAAGGCATTCTCAAAAACATTTCATAACATCAGGCTAATGGCTAGGAAATGCAAATATATATATAAATAAAACTTAAATCAACACTATGAGCCACCTATATCCTCTGAAAAATCTCCTAGACTACCCATCTAATATTTTTCACACAAAGAATCTATTTTTTAAAAATTCTAGTTTATTTTCCAATTTGTTTGAGTAAAATTGTAAAAATACAAAATCTAGAGACCGTAGCTCATCAAGATGCTAAATAAATGCTAAACATTTATATGTATTAAATATTTACTTAATATTTAAATAAAAAATAAATGTGGTAACATTTTAACAAGGAAAATCAAAGCTTTTAAAATATTTGCCTTTCAATGTAGCAAAGCAAAATTTCAGCTTCTTTTGCCTTGCCTGGATCATCTTCAAGCAGTTCTTCAACAATGCCTTCGTCACCTATAATTACTGAAAGCACCACAAGATATTTAAGATTATCAATCAATAGAAAATAATAAATATATATATGTTTAATTAATCAGCAACTTAATGCTATGGTTTCTAACAGCACCAACCTCTTCCTAAACTGACTGGCCTCCCTGTTCATGTCTCCCGTATTTTCAGGTACATTTTTAGGTATTCTCTCTTTGGCTTACCACATCTACTATTTACCAATTGTCTGTTAGCTGTTGAAGGAAGAAGCTCATCGGGTAATAGAGACATAACAAAAGTAAGTACATTTTTTATTTCTTTAAGCTCAAGTTAGGAAAATTCTCACTCTTTAGCTTCCTGGGGGGAAAATGATGTTTTTCCATTATTTGTGTTAATTAAAAAATAAACATAAATTACCAGGTAAACTTTTAGTTTTCTGAATTTGCCCCACAAAGTCTTCAAATGAGCTGCTCATATCAGATTTTACCCATGAAGTAAGTGCATTTGAAATAATCTGCAGTCTTTGGTGACTACAAAGAAAAAAAAAATCAGTATACTGAAGCTAAAATCAAATAGTGGAGTAATAGAATAAACACAAATAAAAGCTTCAAACTTAAAAAGTATATAATCAACTTTCATACCGAAACTGTAATTCTTTGTTCAGATTTTGAGCTAAATCTCTCCGTTTTAATGTTACAATCATTTCCTCATCTAACTCTGCCTTTCTCTGAACTGGTACATATTTTTTCAACATAGCCTGTTTAATTTCAGCATATTTATCTTCAAGATGTTTCAGGTATTTAGTGAGAGCAACTAAATTGACAGATTCTTGGAGAGTCATGCCTACAGGGAAAAGGGAACAGGTCAAAAGCGAAACCATGTTGGGGACTCTTGTGCTCAAATGGCAAGTCTTAGCAAAATAGATCATAGTTTGCTATGTTAAGAAATAATTAAGAAATGGTAGCATGAACTTATAACTTACTGAACATAAAAAGAATTGGCACACAATTTTAAATGTGTAGCAGTTTTAAACATATCAATGAAAGCTGATTGTCCAAAACTTAGCATCTTAAAAAGTTTTTTTAAGCTTTTTATTTTGTTTTTTATATTTGAGAGAGAGACGGGGGGGGGGCGGTGCACAAGCTGGGGAAGGGAAAGGGGAGATAGAATCTTAAGCAGGCTCCATGCTCAGCATGGAGCCCAAGCGGGGGCTTGATCTCACGACCCTGAGATCAGGACCTGAGATGAAATCAAGAGTTGAAGGCCACCTAGGTGGCTCAGTAGGTTAAGCACCTGCCTTTGGCTCAGGTCATGATTTGATCCCAGGGTCCTGGGATCGAGCCCCACATTGGGCTCCCTGCTCTGCGGGGAGCCTGCTTCTCCCTCTCCCTCTGCTGCCCCCACCCCCGCTTGTGTTCTCTCTCTGTCAAATAAGTAAGTAAGTAAGTAAGTAAGTAAATAAAATCTTGAAATCAAGAGTCGGATGCTTAACTGACAGAGCCACCCAGACTCCCCTGCATCTTAAAAAGTTTTAATGACCTCACTGTCACACCTTGCAAACATTTAAATATCACTGTTACTCAATACCACTAAGAGCTTCTGCCCAACAATTCAGGATTTTTGTCCCAAGATTTCCAACCAAAGATTCCATTAATCTACTACAACAAACTCCAGGGCAATCTGTTTATTCTCTCCAGTGTGAAGTTTATAAAACCTGCCAAGCCCTCAGTCCTCTCTCCCTCCTTGCCCCTGTATTCATTATTCATAACAACCCATTCACACCCACTTGAAATGATTCCCTTATTCAGGCCAATTGTTGGCTTTAAAGGCATACATCAAAATTCTCTCCCAGAAACCCACCTGGATTAATCCTACTCAACTTTTAATCATTCTCTTACCCTGAATCCTCTCAGCATTTAATCAATTTGACTTATTCTCTACTTATTCATATGTACCTTATTTGTAGTTTTATCATAATTTTATATTTGAAAATGAATCTAGTCCCTGCTTCCACCAAATGCAGGATGATCATCCAACCTCAGGTGAAATCCTCTGGTATAGAGCAGTTCATTATTTTCAAGACATAGTTTCTTCTATTGAAACCAAATCTGACTTCCTAAAATTTCCACCTATTGATTCTGCCTCTGGATAAAAACTGGTTGAAATCCTTAAAAGTTTTGAATACAGTTGGCTATTTTCAAAGTCTCCCTTTTCTCCAAGATGAATATTTGCAATTCTTCTATCCATGGATCATACAAACCTCTCAACATCCCGAGGAATTCTAGGATATACTCCAATTTCTTAAAATGTGGCTTAGCTGAAGATAAAGAACCAGTGAATGCTGACATCAATGTGAATCAACAATATTCACTAGAACTTAATACATTATAGTTTTTTCATATATTATACCAGGGATTCTCAAACTTTAGAACTACCTGAAGGCCTTGCTAAAAGACTGTTGAGCTACACCCCACCCCCACCCCAACTCCCATCCCTGGAGTTTGACACAATAAGTCTCAGTGGGGCCAGAATTTGCATTTCTAACAGGTTTGCAGGTAACATGACACTGATGCAGGAACCAAATTTTAATAGTCACTCCCTTATACTTTATATAATCCAGCCAGTCTGGAACTCTCTCAAGTCTTTCAGGGTTGTTGAAGTTGTCTCATTCCCTTGTATCGACCTGGAGCCCGAACTAAAGTTGTTTGTGAAGTCTGGCTGAAGTCCTCGTACACTTGCACACATGCATATTGCAGCATATATATACTAATTTGTATGATTGGTAATAATTGAAAACAGTTGGATTTTCAAACATTTTAAACAAAATACAGTACCTGGAATAGGTTTTGAAGGATCTTTGGAGAAAGTATGATATCTTACTTCTTTTGCATCATATTCTGCCCTAAGTTGTTTCATTTTGTCTATTTGCAATTGAATCTTTGAGGAATTATTTTCAATAACCCTCATTCTGAAAAACAGAAGGTCTTTCTTATATTTCTTTCAACTAGTTAATTATTTAATCATAAGATTTAAAGTAAAACAGGTTAAATCATTACTTTATTTTGGCTAATTATCATTTTGAACCATTATGGACTTAGGTGTTAAGTTTACAAAACAATGCCCATAAAAAGTTAACTAACCTCAAAAGTGAGGAACAGTTTCTTTCAGAGCATCATTAAAATCTTACACTACGATTCACAACCTTACTGGAAATTTGTACGTGTTAAACATAATAATCTGGCCACAAAGTACTATGTCTATTCCCTATAGTTGAAAATTACCTTTGCAAATAAAATTATTTTTGTAGTTCTTTCAGCTTCCTGTGGCTGCTATAACAAATTGCCAAAAACTTATTGGTAGCTTAAAACAACAGAAATTTATTCTCCTATAGTTCCAGAGATCAGAAATCCACAATCAGTATCACTGGGCCAAAATCAAAGGGCTATGCTTCCTCTTTAGAAGCTCTTGGGAAGAATCTATTCCTTGCCTCTTCCAGCTTCTGGGGGCTGCAGGCCTTCTGGGGCTACATCACTTCAATCTCTGCCTCCGTGACCACGTTGTCTTCCCCTGCCTGTCAAGTCTCCTTCTACCTCTTTAAAAGAACACTTGTGATTGTATTTAAAGCCCACCTAGATAATACAGGATAATCTCCTTATTTGAAGATCTGTAACATAGTATCATCTGTAAAGACCCTTTTTCCAAATAAAGTAACAATTCCAGGTTCCCAGGATTAGGACCTAGTATCTTTGAGGCCATTATTCAGCCTCCAATAGTAATTTTGATCCTAGAGCTGGAAGAAGGATAGCACCTCTTTGAGATAAAACTGTCTTATTCCAGAAATGGGGATCTTAAAGACCAAGAGGTAGATATAAATTTCTTTTAAGCATTATTTGAAGTTCACTGCCTAGTTTATCACTGATATGTTGGCCCTGGGAGGAAAATAACAGATTAAAATAAATTAGATATATAAATGTCAGTTTCTGGCAAATTAAAAACAAGTTTGGGGCGCCTGGGTGGCTCAGTTGGTTAAGCGACTGCCTTCGGCTCAGGTCATGATCCTAGAGTCCTGGGATCGAGTTCCGCATCGGGCTCCCTGCTGGGCAGGGAGTCTGCTTCGCCCTCTGACCCTCCCCCTTCTCATGTTCTCTCTCTCTCTCTCTCATTCTCTCTCTAATAAATAAAATCTTTAAAAAAAATAAAAATAAAAATAAAAACAAGTTTGTCAGTAGACAACGGCTACCCACATCTGATTACTATACAGAGTTCCTGGCACCTACAGTTGGCTGAGTAAGAGCCTACAGTATTTATGAACGAGGGACTGTGGAAATAAAATACCCTTTGGCTTTCATCCAAAAAACTTATGCTTGTGGAAGAAGAGCATGTTAAAAGTAAACAGACTTTTGGTGTGCCTGCATGGCTCAGCTGGTTAAGTGCCCAATTCTTGATTTTGGCTCAGGTCATACCTCAGGGTCAAGGGATGGAGCCCATATCAGGCTCTGCAGTCAGCACAGAGTCTGAGATTCATTCTCTCCCTCTCCCCTTGCTCACGTTCTCTCTAAATAAATAAATAAATAAATAAATAAATAAAAAAAATCTTAAAAAAAAAAGTAAATGGACTTTCAAAAGAATTGAAAGCAGGGACTCAGATACTTACGCATGAATGTTCATAGTGGCATTATTCACAATAGCCAGAGGTAGAAACAACCCAAGTATCCATCAACAGATAATTAGATAAAAGTGTGGTATGTTCATAAAATGGAATATTATTCAACCACAAAAAGGAAAGAAATTCTGATATATGCTACAACACCGAATGGAGGGTATTGAATTGTTGCTTCTTTCTATAACTACTTTTAGGATCTCCTTATCTTTGACAATTTCACTATGATAAATCTAGTTGAGAATCTCTTAATATTTACAATGCTTGGGATTTGTGGGGCTAAGAGCCACTGTTTATAGTTACACTAACTAGGTAATATAACCAAGTAACAATTATCACCTTTTGGGCTACTTACTAATATACTTACTTTGTTTCAAGTTGGATTGTTCTTTTCCTGTGATACACCAAAGCTGTGGGCTCTGCTGCCAAAGCTTTAAGTTTTCCATGAAGACAAAATGCAGTTCTTTGTCCTTCCTTCCTTGTCTCAATAAAGGCATCATATTCTTTTTTGATTGAAGTAAGAATGGATTTGTATGCAGTGACATACTCTATTACCTGAAACATGATTTTTCTGCCTATAGTACTGAATTTTTTTTCTAGAAGACTATGGAACAAAAGACTTGCAAACAGCATTGTAGATTATTTCTTAAATGAAATATGATGAGCAGTTAGAAGTCTTAAACTTTAATACCCAGGGTATTAAAGACAACTAATATTTACTGAATATGCACTTTGTGAATCATTACAATACTATGAGCTTCAATATTTTTGTTCTACTTAGTATGAACACGTACATCATATGATGTCAGTTAAAACCAATACCAGGTCTAATTATCTCAATCATAGATCTTTGAAATATAATTGCCTATCATCCCTTACCGTTTCCAAATTTAGTCTCTGGCTTCATTCAGACCTTAAAATCCTGGATTCCTCTCACCTCTCTATTTTTCTAACCTATCAGCTCCTACTGGCTAATCAATACTCTTAATTCCCCAATTGCATTTCCATTGCTAAGATGTCAAATGCAACTATAGAAAACCTCTACATATTCATGGTTTCCAATGGTGTGTGTAAGTACAGAATATCTCTAGAAGGATAATATAAGGAAATGGAAACAGTGGGTGCCTGCAGAGAAGCAAAGAGGAAGCAGGGTCTGAGGTGAAAAAGGCCTGACTTTCCATTGTATATTCTTCTTTATTGGCTTTCTTTTCTTCTTTTCTTTTTCTTTCTTTCCTCCCTTCCTTCCTTCTTTCCTTCCTCCCTTCCTTCCTTCTCGCCTATCTTGTGTATGCATTACCCAGGCAAAAATAATTAACAAGCATTTTAAGTAAATTAAAAAACAAAAAATTATAAATAATTTATGGTTTCCAAATTCTGCACATGAGGCTTTTAGAAGGGATCAATATGTATAGGGAATAGATATGATCAATCCATAATTTTCTCCAAGAGCTATAATTATGCTGTCTATCCCACCTACATCTCTAGTGTCTGGTATCCCCCATTGGTTTTCTGTTAGCTAAACAGTATCTAGAAAAAATTATCTGGTCTGGAAGAGATCTGGTCTATCAAGAAAGAGTGCAAGCAGATTACAGATCAGTGGTAAATACCAGTAGAGGATATGTGAGTGGGAGATACTGGTTGTCTTTTTGACACGACCATATTACCCATCTACCCAAACCAGGAGGACAGCCACCCAGGAACCTTTAATGAAACAGAGGTCATTCGTCTGCAGTCTTCCAAATCAATACCCCACTGTTCCTGGCCATCCTTCACTTCACATGCCTCTGGGATATGCCACAACAATTCAATATAGTTTGGAAACGTAACGGAGAGAAAACGGACTTGTCGTGCCGCCACAATCAGCCCCCATACCTGCTTGCTAGAAGACACAGATTTCAGAACACGAATGGGAACCGCTGAGAACGCACAGGAGATGCGTAGAAGTAAAGGAAGCACACTGGCATGCTACAGGCAGAATCCAGTTTTGCTTGACTCACAAAAATATTTTAAAATGTAGGAAATGTCACCAAAAACTGTATTTCCATTTCTCTTGAAAACTCTGAAAAATCTACCAACATGAACCCCCATTCCTTAATGGCAGTAATCAGCTGAAGCTTTGGACCGAACTGGTCCTTCATTTTGCCACAGTCCTCATGACCCCTTATTCTCCGACAGCCAACCCAATGAACTCCTTCACATGGTCTTCCTGGCTCTACGTCGTTCAAGTCTGAGGGTCAGGTTTGCATTAAACTTAAGAGACTTGGTAAGGACAAGGGTCTGGGGGAGAAGAGGAAGGGTAGTCATTCCACCTCAGCTCCTATATATGGACATAGGCTCTTTGTACATGCCACCAGAAGCACAAAAACCAGCCATTTCCAGAGGACAGCTGCCTCCATAATTCACCCATTTCTGTAGAAGCTCACTCTTCCTAGCTTGGGTCTGCCTTGCTTACTAAGTCTTTGGCTCTTTCTATAACCTACCCTCAATTCTTGTTACAGGAGTCTCAGGTCCTCTTTGCTTTGATTCAGGCACAGTTCACTAGGTAAAATCCTCTATGTGTGTTTCTAAGCAGAATTTGGTATTTGTTCTCTGATTCCAAGTATTCAGAGATGCAAGTTAATACTTTCATCTTTGCCTAATTAGATCCTTCCAAGGAAAGAAGGAAGATTAGAGAAAGCAGTCATCAATAGTTTATTAACAAGCAAATATGCTAGAATAACATGAAAATGGAAAGATCAGGGACGCCTGGGCAGCTCAGTGGGTTAAGAGTCTGCCTTCGGCTCAGGTCATGATCCCACGTTCTGGGATCAAGTCCCACATCGGGCTTCTTGCTCAGCAGGGAGCCTGCTTCTCCCTCTACCTGCCACTCCCCCTGCTTGTTCTCTCCCTCTCTCTCTCTCTCCCACACTTTCTCTCTGGCAAATAAATAAATAAAATCTTAAAAAAAAAAAAAGAAAATGGAAAGACCAATCGTCTTGAGAAACTAGAAGAAAAGTTTCTCTAAGTGCCAAATAATTTCTATTTCAGACACCCTCTCAGTCCTGAAGAATAGGATTCTTTACAAGGCACAAATGTACAACGGACAGAAAGTGCACATGGAAATCTTGGGAGGTAGGGAGAAAAGGAATATAGATGTAAATATTATCTGTTATTTATTCCCATGTCTTTTCTTTAAGAATTAAATTAACCAACACCACCTCCAAAATGACTTTACTAGAACTATACTAATTTAAAGCAGACAACTCTTCATGTAAGAAAACTTCTGACAAGTGTCAGCATTTGGGCATGCAAAGATAAGCATGTCACTGTTATGATAACTTTCTTTTGCTAGTTTCAGGTAAGTAGAGTCTCAGCATAATTCTTGATATTGATGAAACCATTCAAAACACTGCCTTTAAACATTCATCCAGGGCACCTGGGTGGCTCAGTTGGTTGAGCGACTGCCTTCGGCTCAGGTCATGATCCTGGAGTCCCTGGATCGAGTCCCGCATCGGGCTCCCCTCTCGGCGGGGAGTCTGCTTCTTCCTCTGACCCTCCCCCCCTCATGTGCTCTGTCTCTCTCAAATAAATAAATAAAATTAAAAAAAAAAAATTCATCCAGTACATTCCTTAATGACTCAAAAGCAGTATCACTGATCATAACGACATATAAAATGAAGCTAACCTGCCAATGTACCAATTCTAAAAGACGGTGTTTCTAGATGACTTAAAAGAAAAGACTGTTGGGGCGCCTGGGTGGCTCAGTCGGTTAGGCAGGGGCCTTTGGCTCAGGTCATGATCCCAGGGTCCTGGGATCGAGCCCCACATCGGGCTCCCTGCTCGGCGGGAAGCCTGTTTCTCCCTCTCCCACTCCACCTGCTTGTGTTCCCTCTCTCGCTGTGTCTCTCTCTGTCAAATAAATAAAATCTTAAAAAAAATAAATAAATAAAAGACTTTCTTTATTTTATACTCTTATGAATACTCATCCATTTTCTTAATTCCACTTGTAGGTATAGATCACTACTTTGCGCTCATTTTTCCTTAGAGCGATGCACTATGTTTTTAATTAGAGAAGAAATAAGATTCATAGTGTATACTGTTTAAAAATTAAACAAAAGACTGTGTTCCTATTTTGCCTGTGGCTGTTTTACTCAGAAACCAACAGTCTACAGAATTCTTAAGATAAATAATTATTTCTTCTGGGTAAGGAGGAAATAATGCTGATTTCACTTATTTAACTGCCAGGGCATCTTCCAAGGGGGTTAAAAAAAGTAAGGATTAAAAAAAAAAAATAGAACCAAAGGGGAAACTGCAATTGTTTGTAAGGAAAACAAGTGTTTCTAAAACCTTAAAAAGCAAAATCAAATGTTATATAAAGCCATAACATTTTCTAAACTCATTTATTTCCAGTGTTCAGTCCAGTCAAACCTCTTGTTTACTGGACCTGTGGAGACCTCTAACTCACCAAGGGTTCCAACTTAATACGCTAGATCAAATCTCAGCCAACACTTTAATGATATCACAAACAAACCCAAAACAACAACTACCAGGTTCCTGCTTGGCAGCCCAATTCCTAACAAATCAGATATTTTTAGATAAAAGGCCAAAATGATGTTAGAAGGCACAACTAAGTTGTTGCTCAAAAACTGACAGCCTGCACTCAAACTATAACAATTGAAACACTCATTAACTATCTAGTGATAGAAATCCAGCACTCTATTTTCCCCATTCATCCTTTCCCAATACACTGGATGAACTTCTCAAAATTGTCAAATGAAGTGTGCTCAAACAAGCAGTGATGTTACTAAGGCAGGAATATTAGTTGTCAAGATAGACCATTTCTACCCCATCAAAACTCTCTCATCTTAAGAGCGTTTTGATACCTTATCAAAAACGTTTCGGTATATGATGTAATATTCATCAGCAGGTCCTTCCTCAGTACAGCCCACTCTTTCAGTTTCTGTGATTATGTATCTTTGCATACTTTCCAAAAATTCCTTGTCACTTCTACTAATGATAGGGGGGAGAACTGCATGTTTATTCATTTCTTGGATGGACATCTGTCACAATCTGCACACTTGTTCACCAGAGAAGAGTTAAGTCTTGACTTGCTTTTGCAACAAAGCCAAAACTTTGGTAAGCCTGAAAGAAAAAAAGACCATCAATTGATCTGAAGCTTAAGATAAATTAAGTCATTTCTAATAAATTTATAATAAATGAAAACTGGTCTAAAATGTGTATTTGTCATGGGAAAAAAATTTTCCATGAATCTCGGAGATAAATATTTCAACCTATGAATTAAAAGGTCTAACCTACTGTCAAGTGCTATACCTCTGGGATAGAAATACCAAACACCAGTCAATAAAGAGCACTTTTCTTAGTAACCAAGCCTATGTGTCATGTGATTGGATGGTTTCTTATGTTTAATTCAATACTTTCTAACGGAATTTACCAAGTTTGGAAGCCTCCTCATGATACAAACAAGGTCAGATACTTCTCTACCCATGAGCTTACTTGGCCCAGGCATAGTCAAGAGAGCTACAAACAACTCATGAATTTATTTTATGATAAACTTTATTATAATTCTTATCATTGAAATAAACATACTAACTAAAAAGACGTCAGAACTTTTGCTAAAATCCATCCATCGGTGATATCAAAGATAACAGCCCTTTTCTAGCACCGTTTCAAGCAGCTACATTCCTTTGCTCTTTAAGTAAAGAATCATTATCCAATTAGAGTTGGATACAGAAGTTGATTGCTGAAAACTATTCACATTAACATCAAACAGAACCCATGGCTTGCTGAAAAATGTCTGGCAAGGCAAAACATTTGAACTCTCCCCAACTTCTCCCCCACCCATGCATATTCAGGTATAAAATTTGGAAAATATAAACCAAAGAAAATTAATGAAAAACTAAAAATCATCCACAATCCTCCATCCAAACATAACGATTATTTAATATTTTGGTATATTTCCTTCCAGTTTTATAATTATAAAAATTAGGATCACGCTCTATATTCAGCTTTGTATCTTCATGTTTTCCACTTAATATTAAAAGCACTTTTCCCTATGGTGAGCGCTGTTAATTGTGTAAGACTGATGAATCACAGACCTGTACCTCTGAAACAAATAATACATTATATGTTTTAAAAAAGAAGAAGATAGCAGGAAGGGAAAAATGAAGGGGGGGAAATCAGAGGGGGAGATGAACCATGAGAGACAATGGACTCTGAAAAACAAACTGAGGGTTCTAGAGGGGAGGGGGGTGGGGGGATGGGTTAGCCTGGTGATGGGTATTAAAGAGGGCACGTTCTGCGTGGAGCACTGGGTGTTATATGCAAACAATGAATCATGGAACACTACATCAAAAACTAATGATGTACTGTATGGTGGCTAACATAATAAAATAAAATTAATTTATTTAAAAAAAAGCACTTTTCTATGTTGTTGAATAGTTTTCAAAAACATGACTTCTAGGGATGCCTGAGTGGCTCACTCAGTTAAGCGTCTGCCTTCCACTCAGGTCATGACCCCAGGGTCCTGGGATAAGAGTCCCTTGTCAGGCTCCCTGCTCCGAGGGGAGCCTGCTTCTCCCTCTGTCTGCTGCTCCCCCTGCTTGTGTTCTCTGACAAACAAATAAATAAAAATCTTAAAAAAAAAAAAAAGACTTCTAATGATTGTGTAGTATTTCACGGTATGATACACCATATTTTTTTTTTTTTGAGAGAGAGGTGGGGCTCACACACAAGCAGGGGTTTGGGTGGTGGAGGAGACAGAGGGGCAGTGGGAGGAGAAGCAGACTCCCCGCCGAGCAGGGAGCGAGCAGGGAGCCTGATGCGAGGACACTAAGATCATGACCTGCGCAGAAGGCAGGCAGCTGCTTAACCGACGGAGCCACCCGGGAGCCCATACTTTATCATTCCCCCACTGTTGGACATTTCCACTATAATAAATAATGCTGTGATGAATAAATATCTAAATCAATTTTATCATGTTTTAGCAATATAATTAATATCTGGTTATTTAAAATTACATATATGGCCTATAAATCCTGCCCACAGGTCATAGGCAGGAGAGAGACACCAAAATAGTTATCAAAATTTAAAAGACCTAATTTACTTTATGTTGATGAACTGGATAATGAAAAACCAATTTATAAATGAACATAAGTAGTTCCAATAAGGTAAAAACCCATAAATGGATCAACAGTTTTCCCAAGTGAGAAATCAATTTCCTTATTCATTCATTCAACTAATATTTATTGTTTACTAAATGCCAGCATTATTTTATAGCTAGAGATTCAGTAATAAATAAGATCAAGTTCTTGGTTCCTTGGAGCTTATAATCTAGTAGGAGAAACAGACTATAAATAATGTAATTTCAGATAGTAAAAGATAATGGTCAGAGGAGGAAGGAATGGGTGTGACCACTGGAGACTTAGTGGTTACACCTGAATGCCAGTGGCCTCCTATAAACCCTAGGATAATATCCAAGTTCCTTTACTTAGCCTATGAAGTGCCCTATAGGAACCAGGTAGTCCCTTTCTCTGTCCAAATCTAGCCTTTTCATGCCCCTGCCCTTCTCATAACTCCCATCCCCACTCCCATGAATTTGCTGAGAGTCCTGCATAATTCTCTCCCGTCTCTGTATTCCCTCCCTCCATCCTCAGCACTCCCTGCCCCCACCAAGATAACACTCATATCACCACTCTCATTCACTTGGCTTCTACTCCTTTTTCAGATTTCAGTTTATACAGCTCCAGGAAAGCTGCCCTGAATTCTCTTAAACTTGGTCAACTTCTATATTCTCCCATGGTACTGTGCACTTCCTCTATCATGGTATTATCACTCAGCCACTCATAATAGTGACTTTCTGTTTACATTCTCTATCTATCTCAATAGGCAGGAACCAATATGTTCTCACTCCCCATTATCCTTCCCTACCTATACACATTCCAGTGAATAGTACAGTTTCTAGCAGAATATATACTTTAAAAAAATGCTTAATAATCAATAATCAATGAGCAATAATGTGGTCTTCTCATAAGACATGACTTGTGGTGCCTCAAACCGGAACACAGCTAAAGTGACCGTTTCTCAGCATCTACAAAATGCCCGAGTCACATAAACCAACTCAGATGACCTTTCACTCACTCATTCATATTAGACACAAAGGATACAGAGAAAACGAGTCACAGAGATTCCCAGTCAAGTCTACTGGGCTAGTTAAACAAGCCATTGCTACAGAGCAGAGAGGGCAGTGTGACAGAGGTGGGCACAATGGGCTCCAAAAGCCCAGAGGGGCACCTCACTAGTTTGTGGGAGAGGGCAGGGAAACATCAGGAAAAACATCTAATGGAACAACACCTAGGGCAATACTTATGTTGTGCTGCATTTATTTATTCAATAAATTGGGGGGCGGGGAGGCACGCACCTACTGTGTCTGCCACTATTCTAGACACTAGAGATACAGCATCAAACAAAACAAAGTCCAGAACCTCTCAGAGGTTACATTCAAACAGCAAGACAGACAACAACCACAAATACAGATGACACAGGGGGCTAAGTTGTATAAACAAATAAAACAAGGAATGGGGACTAGAAAGAAGGTGGGACGGTGCTATTTTATGCAAGGCATTAAGTTGGGAAAGAGGAAAGCCCTCACAATAAGGTGACATTTTATTTACTTTTAAATCTTTAAACTTTTTTTTTTTTTAAGATTTTCTTTATTTGTCAGAGAGACAGAGACAGAGAGAGCCCAAGCAGAGTGAGCGGCAGGCAGAGGGAGAAGCAGAACCCCGCCGAGCAAGGAGCCTGACGTAGGACTCGATCCCAGGACTCCAGGATCATGACCTGAGCTGAAGGCAAATGCTTAACCGACTGAGCCACCCAGGCATCCCAACAAGGTGACATTTTAAAAAGTAGTTTAAAGATTCCTGGGAGCAGTGGTGGATGCAGACAGAGCAGCAAGTGCAAAAGCCTCAAAGCAGGAGGGTACGCCTGACAAACAGCAGGAAGGCCAGTGGGGCTAGAAGAGAAAGGGACAAAGGAGATAAGGTCAGAGAGGTAGCTGCCAGATCATGTAGGATATGAGGCCTTGAAGGCAGGACCACGACCAGCTCCCCCATGGGGCATCTTTGTAAAGGTTAGAAAAAGGCAGACTGGGGCGCCTGGGTGGCTCAGTCGTTAAGCGTCTGCCTTCGGCTCAGGTCATGATCCCAGGGTCCTGGGATCGAGTCCCACATCGGGCTCCCCGCTCGGCGGGAAGCCTGCTTCTCCCTCTCCCACTCCCCCTGCTTGTGTTCCTTCTCTCGCTGTGTCTCTCTCTGTCGAATAAATAAATAAAATATTTAAAAATAAAAAAAGGCAGACTTGGCAAGAGGAACAATGGGTTGGAACACGGCCATGTTGTTCCAGTGCTGGAGCAACAGCCTCACTTATAGGAATTTATGCTTCACTCTCAGTGACACGGGAAGTCATTGGAGGGCTATGGGCAGAAGAGTGACAGCTGACATACATCTTCAAAGAACCTTTCTTGCTGCTCTGTGAAGACAAGGGTCAAAGCTGGAAGAACTGTTAGGAAGTTACTGCAATAATCTGGGCAAAAGATAATGGTGGCTTGAATCAGGGTGGTTACAGTAGAGGTGGTGAGAAGTGTTCTGCATACTGAGAATAAAGCCAAGAAGAATTCGCTGTGCATAAGAAAGTACGTGGATAAGAGAGAGCAGTCAAGGATGACCATAAAGTTTTTGGCCTAGCAATGAGAAGATGGGAATTGCCATTTACAGAGATGGGAAGAGCAATTTCGTGAGATCAGGACTTCAGGCTTGCCTATGAGAGATGTTGAGTAGTCAGCTGGATATGTGAAGGTGGAGTTCTAGTGAGTGGTCTGAGTGAGAGATAAGTTTATACATCATGTGCATATAAATGGTATTTAAAAGTTGAGACAGATGGGACACCTGGGTGGCTCAGTTGATTAAGTGTCCAACTCTTGATCTTGGCTCAGGTCTTGATCTCAGGGTTATGAGTTCAAGCCCCACATTAGGCTCCACACTAG